GTCTGCTTTTAGGCTTATCATGCAGCACGGTGAGAAACAACAACCCTATGAGGCACAGCTACGTCTTTAGGGACGACGCTCTGGGTATGTTTGTTATTATTCTAATAGTAATGATTGAAAATAAAAACAAACTGGGGAATTCATTGTAGAAATGTGATTTAATTTGGGTTTTAACCCTGAACACTAAACATAATGTCTGGCATGGCAAATAGACCATTCATTTTAAAAGTATTTGATTGGATTTATTAAATTACTGAACTTTGATGATGATCTCTCTGTGTTATGTTTATTACATCGAAAAAATATATATATATTGTAAAGTAGTTCCTCATTAATCGCGGAGGTTTGGAACCACTTCCCCCCGATAAGTGGAAAATCGTGAAGTAGGGATACAATAGTCCAAGTTTAAGTAAACTTTATTGTCATTACCATCTCGTTGTTCGAGATAGAACGAAATTATGTACACAAGTAGTAGTAGTTTATTTTAGTACTTATATACAGGTATATATTAAGGCGTTTTAAGCCCTTCCCACACTCTTGCAATGTCCCTAAAAATTTTCTAAACTCTAAACACTCTAAAACTGCACAACTTGTCATGAGCTCAGCTCTCTGCCACCTGGCAGCGCTCTCGGCCACGCACACTTCTCCGCTGCAGAGTGAAGATCTGACACGCAGCAGGAGGAAGCGTCTCCTGCACCTCTGGGCTGCACACAGGTGCAGCAGGTGCTAAATAATTTAAAATAATTTATTTTAAATAAACAATCCATGCTGATCGTGCATCTCATCCATCAATCAGCCAATCATGTGTCCTGTCTTACTTTGAAAACCCGCGATAGAGCGAGTCCACGAAAAACGAACCGCAAAGTAGCGAGGGACTACTGTAGTGACAAACTTATGAAATTCAAAATCTTTATGAAGTGGAGCCTGAAATGTGCAGGTTTTGATGACAGGAGTGAAGAAATAAAATTAAAATGAACCCTTTTCTAACATTCAATTCAGTCACTTAGAATTGTTAGCCCCAAGTTTTACTAATCAACAATAAAACTGAAATTCTTCTAAACTTCTAACTTTTGTTGGATTTAATGAATTGTAAACAGCTAAGATAACATTCAGTGCTTTGATTGTAAAGTGACCGTCTGCTCTAATTTAGACTTTGCAGACAGTTATCTCAGACCTGGCATTTATAAATGACTGTTTCACTTCTGCTGTGGAGTATTTTTTTTGCACATGCTCGTCTCAGGGAGCACTGCCAGTCATATGAAATGCCTTCATAAAGCTTTTGTGGCTCCACAGGGAGCTGTGAAAACTTTGAAATGACCGTCGGCCTGTACGGAGTGAAGTGTAAAAAGTCACGATGAGCTTTATGCAAACATCAACTTCTGTACCATAGTTAACCTGGCATGAATCCAAATACAAAATTATTTAGATCAGCAGGTCAGCAAACTGCTAAAGCTGTTCTTATTATTAAAATAAAAATAATAAATTGATTGTGGCACTGAATAGAAAAATATCCCAAAATTCCTCTTTCACTGGAAGAGAACATGAACATCTGAACCAGATTCAGCAGGTTTAACTTTCCCACACACTGGACTCCAAACAAACAAACCCAAAAGAAGAAAACGTTGATCTCGTCAACTTTTGGCAAAAGATGCCAACTGAATTAAAAAAAAAAAAAATCCAAGGGAAAGTTTGTGCACAATTTAAGTCTGGAGAAGAGTGTTGGGTCAACAAAGAGCCACTTTGGTCCCTCTGTAGTATCAGCTGTTAACTGTTCTGCTGCATCCTGTCAATCACAGCCTGAGGCAGACGGTCCCTTATGTCAAACTATGGCTACACTACTGCTTCATGTTGAAATGTCCTAAAATGATTTCAGCTTTTAAACTGAACCAAACATTCCTCTTAATAAAAACGATATTTTTGTGATTGCACTCAGTCGACCTTGTCTTGTAACAAACTTTTTAAAATTCACTTCTGCAGACAAAAGTTGTTTATCATTGCTCCTGCGCATCGAAACGGGTACAAGATTAATTTTGCATAAGCTCCGTCCAGTTGCAGGTCTTCTCTTCTCTGCCAGTGATTTTATTAAGGCGTGCTCCAGTTTGCTTCATCGTTCTCAAACAGAGATTAACAAGAAGCATAAAGCAAAGAGACGAGCAGCTCAAACAGACAAGCTGATGTAAGAATTTAGGGCTTAACGAGGTTATTTTGGGAGACAATCTTCCTGTCACTATTTCTATCCAATGATCGGTCACTGGGTTTCCATATCATAAATAAATCACTGCAACACAAAGATTTCATTTAGACCTCTGGAATTATATGTTATCCTCACAAAATTAGATGCAAATGGTTGTTCTGTTCCCTGCTTGAATAATTTAATGCACCACTGTGCTGATGCAAATAAGTTTAGGGAGCAGTTGACCCAATACAATTAATTAACAAAGAACTGACATCAACTCTGAGTATTCAGTAAGTCTTGGATTTCTTGTGCACAACTGAAATGTAATATTTACTTAAACAGAAAAAGACTGCACAATCCATATCTAATACCTTTGCTGTTCTCTTTTATTTAAAGATGTCATTCGATGGAGCGGCATCAGGGACTCAGTTGTTCAACCTTAAATCTTTTGGAGTTTGCTTGTTTTTTTTTAGCTTTGGTTCTACAAAGTACAGAATCACCTCAGAGGTAAAAACAACTTAAAGCTTCACTTTTAGAAACTAATCAACTTTTTTGTCATCTTGTAATAAAAGTGTGCATTTTAAATTCTTTATGTAATCCTACTTCTCTGTATCGCATAAAGTTTTATTACAAAATAACATTTAAGTGTCTGACAATCACTGCAGGACAACTTGTGCACCTGCAGAACATTTTTAATCAATCAGCTGATTTGCTTCTAAGATTTGAGTCTCGAGTGTCTGATTAGCTCTAAAGGTTTTATAGCCTCATGACACACGGCTGCAGAGAACATAAACTTTAAAGACTGAATCCATAACAGTGATCATCCAATTTTTTTGCACCACACACATTTTTCTTGCCCACACGTGTGGAGAAGTGTGTTTGTGTGTCTGCGCCACATCCAACAGAATCTCCTCAGATGAAGGAATGAAAATATCACTGGACCTTACTGTGAATAATTTAGTTTCATAATCAAAGACACAAGTTTGCATCATATTTTCAACCCCTGTTTCCAACAGTGATGTGGTTTAATAGCGAACATTTAGCAAATGCAAAGAGAGTTTTACCAAATCCGACAAGATTCTAACCAAAGTTTACGAATAGTTGGGGAAATTTTCAAAGAATGCGCTGATATAATTCACTGTGTCTTTTTAAGCAAAGACTTATTAAAATGCAAAAACAGGGAGCAAAATTCAAGTCCAGGATTCAACAGCTTGAAGAACCACTGTGGGTAGGAAAGAAATCATTTTCCTCTGCATGATCTTATCAGTTTCTCACACCATTGTGAAGGACACTTCAGCCCACTCTTATTTATAACATAGCTTCAGTATATGGTGGTCCCTCACTTATCGCAGGGGTTACGTTCAAGACACCCCCGATATGTGAAAATTCATGACGTAGGGACATTATATTTATTTTAGTATCTATATATATATTTTAAGACTTTATAAATTCTTCCCACACTCTTGCAATGTTCTTAATGTTCTAAACCAGAGGTTCCCAACCCTGGTCCTCGAGGAACACCATCCTGCATGTTTTAGTTGTTTCTCTGCTCCAACACACCTGATTCAGTGGTTTAATTACTTTATTAAGTTCTGCAGAAGTCTGTTAATCACCCATGCATTCAATTCATGTGTGTGAAAGCAGGGAAACAACAAAAACACGCAGGATGGTGTTCCTCAAGGACCAGGGTTGGGAACCTCTGTTCTAAGCTCTCTAAATGCTCTAAAAGAGCACAGCGAAAGAGAGCAGACAAACTGATGCTACAGTTAATTAGCAAATCAGTGCCCAGGGCTGGACTGGCCATCGGGAGTGCTGGGACATTTCCCGGTGGCCTGGCCTGCTCAGTGATCGCCGAAGGGGACTAAAGGCTCAGTTCAGCTCATGCTTGATTATTTTAAATAAACAAGCAGAGCAGAGACACACAACAAGTTGCGTGCCCACCTGCTGTGTGTCTCTGCTCTGCTGTGACCGACAGCCTCAGAAAGAGAAAGGAGGAGGCCCACTCGGCGATCACTGAGTGAGCCAGGCCACCGGGAAATGTCCAGGCCACTGGGAAATGTCCTGGTGCTCCTGATGGCCAGTGTCCCCTCAGCACAACGCCTTGGTCACCTTACATCAATCAGCCAATCGTGTGTCGTGTACAATCTTACGTTGAAAACCTGCAAAGGAGTGAGTCCGCGAAAGTCGAATCGCGACGTGTCGAGGGACTACTGTAATGATATTTATGGACATTTCTTTGTGCACGGCTCTTGCTCTCTCAAGGTCCACCACAACAATTAACCAGACTAAAGTCTGGATATTCATCTGATAGTTTGAACACCTTGATTCTTTTCTATTCTGTTGCAGATTTGAGGCCATCCTCAGGGTCATGGCCCAGTTTTAACTTGGCTCCAGTTTTCTGGACAGCTGGCCTGACATTTCACATCAAAACACCTTCATATACAGAGGACTTGATACTGGATTTGATGAATGAAAGGTGCTCAGGTCCTGAGCAGGCTAGACAAGCCCAAACCATCAGTCCTCCACCACCGTGTCTGACATCTATGAGGCGTTTGTCCTGATAACCTGGGATTATTATTTCCTCAGTGACTACATATTGCCAAATATCCTCACCTTGTTTCTCTTTGCAATCTATAACCAACCAGGGTCTGTTGAGTCTGCCCCCTCCCCCCATCTCCTCTCATATTCATAAAGTCTAACCATTGGTTTAACTTGCTGGGACATCCACCTCTGATAATATAAAAATCAGAAGCTGTCTTGAATGTTTTCTACAGTTCTCCATCAATCTTTCTCTGTGCAATGATGGATCCCAAATTGATTTTACTCATCCAGACTGACAGGAAGCAATGAGAGAGAATTTGGCATAACTGCTCATTCACATCATTAAACGTTAGCTGGGCAGAACTAATTTTTTTCTTTTTCCACATTATATCCCGCAGACAATGAATTTTATGTCACCACTAATTTCATATGAAGGAAAATGTCTGAACTTTAAAAAACAAACAGCCTAATTGGAACTGCTTCTTACCAATGTGGCTCCCTGAGAGTCTTGATGGTTGACTTCCTCTCCTTGTCTCAGCAGCTCCTGAATGTCTTCTATCATCCTCCTCTCCGTGGACGCCCGCGTCTCGTTGATCATCTCCTGGGTGATGCCTGACAAACACGAATGCAGAACGAATATTAATCGTCCCCCACTGAAAGTTAGAATTTAGTTTTTCCTGAAAGCAGCAGATAGTTTATGTTCAACCGAAGCCGACACAGACGCCAAAGTTTGATGGGGTTTGATGAAACGGCAACGTACATTCCCTTTTGATCGGCAGCAAAGTTTATTTTTAAATTACTCTGGATGTTTTCTATAAGCAAAAAAATATGTTACACGATCAATAAATATGAGTCGTAGTGACAGTCGCAGAATGTTTCCTCCCCAGGCGTCACAGTGACATTAAAAGAGCTACAAGTCTAGAAATCAGTAATGTGAATAAAATAGCATTACTGATGAAGAGATAACGACTGTTTACTTTAAAATTATTATATTTTTTGTTTATTCTTTTTTTTATTTTATTTTTTACCATTTTTCTTTCTTTGGTTCTTTGAAATTGGTAGATAACTTCTATAGCATCCACATCTGGATCCAAATAGCTGCAATAAATATAAAATTTCTATTTTTGGGGGGTGGGAAAGTAAGTTTACTCAAAGTAGTTGATTCTTTGATTCTCAATGACATTTTTTTTTCTTTTATTCTATAGAAAATAAATAAATACATGAAGACCTAATGTCTCAAAAATTATTATTTTTTATTTAATTTTAGTCAAAGATCCTGAAATATTAAATACAATTTCAAAATTTAAATATTCTGTTTTTATTTTTATATTTTATTAACAAATGACATCTTTTTAAGGTTGTACAGAAAAGAATCCTGTGAAACAGGCACTCACTCGTGAAATAAATAGAAACGACACATTTCCCCTGACTGTGCATATTTTACCCTCAGGATTCAGCTCTACAACCTTTCTCGTGACATGAGCCTCCGTCCACTCATCTGGTCCTTCACCTTGGAGCCTTAATATTTTAAAGTCTAAACTCCCCTTTTGTGTCAATCTCTTGAATAAAGCAGGAGCCCACATGAGTGTCAGTCAGTGATTGCGATGAAGGGGGGACTGATTTTGCAATCAGGGCTTGAGTCAGACCAATCCAGGCCTTTTGCAGTTTTCAGTCAACCTTATGTCAGTTTTGCTTTTTAAGGTGTTTGCACCAATCTCTCTGGGCTAAAGTCAGAAATGTTACCTGCTTCTTTCTTTCCAGCTGGAAAATAAGTGACTCAAACAATAATCTCATAGTCATCGAGGCCAATTGATTTCAACATCAAAATGCATTTTAAAAAGAAGAGTTGAATGGACAAGGGTACCATCATTAACATGCATTTTTAGTGCTTTTTCAATAACTAACTATTTTTCAATGAAAGACACTTGTACTTTTACAATGAGAATATGGCCTTAAACACAGTGATTCATCGGATGTGTTTGTATAAGGAAAGGCAACCTATCATTTGGCTGCTGTACTTTTTATGTGTAATTATTACAAGAGTTAATTGTTTTTTACAGCTCATCATTGTTCCATCAGAACCAGTTAAAATTTAACCATGGACTAATCGTATTGCTGGTGTCAGTAGTTTAACTTGTTGACCGAACTCTTTCACCCTTCAGCTCCAGGTACACTGATCTCGTCTTTATCACTGCAGCTCATCACAGATCCACCTGGCTCTAGAGGAGGATCAGGGCAGAGTCTGATCAGTCGTTGCTGCATATCAAATGCTCTGTGTGTGTGTGTGTGTGTGTGTGTGTGTGTGTGTGTGTGTGTGTGTATGTGTGTGTGTAAGGGACAGGCTGCCTGTGTGCTCGTCCACGTATTTCTGGAGATCGAAGTCTTATCCCTCGCCACAATGCTGAGAACATTACCAGAGCAATTAGCAAAGCTGCACTCCCTTTGATCAGCTTAATAATCATTCTTCTCACCTACTGTACCGCTATCTGCATTCTGCAGCTCCACTGAACCCATTGTAAGCTGAGAACCTCATTTTTGAGTGCATTCTCCCTTTTCAAGCCCCTGTTCTAGATGTGCTTCCAACACTGGCTCACAACCAGGTTGTAGTCAACACACTGTGGTGTGATGTGGCCTTTACAGTACAGTTCAAAATAAATCTAATTTATTAACGGTGCCTTTGTTTACAATACAGCTTTAATCATAACGGTTTTCTGACCTTTAGCTTTGCAGGGAAATATAAATAACCTTTATGATGACCAACACCTTGGTGCCTCCAGATAATCAGCTCTGTGTTGTTCACAACTAAGCAGCTCACTGATTATTCTGGTGGATGCTAAAGGGCACAAAGGCAGGCTCTTTGTCTTATTTATATTAAAAAAGATAAGTCTGGTCATGTTTAAAGTGATAATTTTTTTAATAGTTTGCACCTTACCAGCTGTGGCATGAGACACATAATATGGAATATGAACGAACGGGCAGAAGTCCTTCCAGAAAATGCTAATGGCTAGCCAAACAAAGACTTCTAAAACAATTATTTTTCAAAATTATCATACAGATGTGAAGAAACCCTAAATCAACTAATATTCAACCTGTTAACTTTTGCATGATACCGTTTGTTTATTTTTTTTTTTAATTGAACAATGTCCATGTTTCTGAGCCAATGTAATTTTGCTGAGCTTAAACTGTACACATGCCAGTTCAACACGATATATGCTCAGCACATATAGTCAAGCAGCAACACTGACATTGCTCTAAATCATGTCAGGAAAAAAATCTAGAGGTTTAAAATTAGCTAGAGATGCACGATATTGGATTTTTGGGCGATATACGATATGCCGATATGTTAAAACCTATTTGGGCAATAATCGATACTGATATTTTTTAGCTACTTTCCTTTGTCAGAACATAGCCCTCTCTCTTATTTAGACTTACTTGTTACAAAAATTGTATAACAGCCGTAAGGGCTGGTGACATATATTCAGTAACAGCCATATGCATAGCACGTAATTATATTAAACGAAAAGTGTTAAATGTTAATTATTAGCATTAGTCACCTGCGACGCTGTCTCACTTGTGGAGGCTTGTTCCACGTTCCTAGCTTTAGTGTGGGATCCTCTGCACTCTTGTGCATGAAGGACAGACTTTTTAAGTTCAAAGTTTTTGTCTATCCATTGTGCCGCAAGACTAATCATGCTAACAGGGCTAACACTTGACGTCTAAACATCTGTGATAAACTCATCCAATCGTCTATTAGCTTCTCAATGATGTCAGAAATTACGGCTTGTAACTCGGGTAAGGCTACGTCGGAAAAATACCTCCGACTGGGGACGATGTAGCGAGACTCAACGTAGTCCAAAAATCTTCGTAATCAAAAATCCTCAACAACAAAAAAAAACCTTCTACACCAAAAACATTTTGACTTCTTCCTCTCCGCCATGATCAGATCAGGTAGGCGCGTGTGACATCATCACGTTGTGCTGGTGCTGCAGGCATCCTTGTCATTGGGTTGTCATACAAAAACAGCGTCTTTTATATCGGTGAGTTATTTTGATGGAATGGCCGATGTCCGATATTTCACTTTAATGCTAATATCGGCTGATACCGATAACGTGCCGATAATATCGTGCATCCCTAATATTGACTAATGTGTTTGATGAATCACAGGTCCTGCTAACGTGCCATCCTAGTGAGCCATTTACACACTATAAGCTCCCACTGATAACTTTTTATGCCTTGGTAGGATAAAATATGCAAATTCCTTTCTATTTTCTACAGATGAACACAGTTTTTAAACACTAAAATTATTTTTCACAAGCATTTAACAAACTGGAGATTCCCTGCCAGAAAAGAAAAATGACAGAAATTCTCCTTGGAGAAGAAAATAGGTGCACATGCCCAGTCTCCACAGTAAATATGACACAAGGTTACATCCTGTTTACAGAAACTTGAAAGAAAGCAACACTAATTAGCACAAGTAAAAAAAAAGAAAAAAGTCTGTGTTCTGGGCGTTTGTGCCAAATCATTTCTTGGCTGCTGGAACAACTTTCTGAAGTTGTTCACTCAGCAAATGTCTCTGATCAAACCCAGCAAATAGTCAGTTCCATAAACCATTATGTCTTCTCATTAAACTCTATGCTGAAATTCAAAAACATTTAAAACTCTCAAAGCAGAATGTAAAGCGATTTAAATTATTTCAACTCAGGAAGACGGCTGCAGTTTTGGTACAGTGGAGAGATGGATTTTCTTGCATCGTTGGAAGCTCTGAACACATGCCTGTTTGTAAATGAAACCATTTACCAGAGGACTCTGGTTTCTTTTAGTTCAACGTAACTAAAGCTGTGCTACTCCAACTCACACTTTTAAAACACAGCACAAGCTTGCCCTCCCTCATCGCTGATGTGCAGTTTGTTCACCACTGCTGGTCTCCTTGAACTCTCCCAGTAACATCACAGACTGCGGATGTTTACTGTGACGCAGCATGAATATACAGTATCCTAATCTGCATCCCACTGGGGGAGACACTGTGAATATTTCAGAGCTACCTGGAGTGCTGATCTTAAATCTTTGCGGGACACTAAGCAGTCTGAGGTCACATCCCTGCTGCAGTCTTCTTCTGCAATCTGTTCCTGTGGCGACCGGTGCAGGAAAACTGCCAACAACCTTAAACTGCAAGGTTAAGGATGATACAAGGGTTCACTATCTGCTGAACGCTTCCCGCACTGATTATATTTATAACACTGACGTAAAATAATCCGAGCAAGAAAAGTTTAGTTCAGACTTCTCAAAAGCTCAACAAAAAAAAAAGGAGCTTGTGTTAGTCAACAAATCTTTGAGATGTTGAGACATCAAGAACATTTTACACGGACCAAGCAGCAGAGGGACTTGCTGCTTTGAGCAGATCTGTGCGGCTCCTTGGTCTGTTCTGTCTTTACACCGGCCTGCATCAACATGTTTTATGGTCCTGCTGTTCTGGTCTCTGGCTGTTCATGATGTTCAAATTGAAGAAAAGGAGCTAAGTATTTTATATATATTTTTTAATTACTTCTATCACTGTCCTGTAATTAGTCTCTGAGACATGATGCAGATTAGGGACAGACAGCTTATACAGCAGAGTCTTAACTTTCTGTCTGTTTATGAAAACGTTTAGAGTGTCCTGCAGAATTACTCAAAGTCAAAAACACTAGCTTTTACTGCAAGTCTAATTGCAGCTGGAATTAATCGATCTTGTTTTATTATTCAAGGAATTGGCAATGTTAATAAACTGAATGGTTCATGCATATTAGGATTTGGGATTTAGTGGGATGCCTAAGGGCTACCAGCTCTTTTGCCACATTTTCATCTTCTATCACATTATTTCCTGAGTCCTCCTTTGGTCAGCTGGGCACCTTGAGGAATAAATCCTCCTTCATAACAGGATGTCTATAATCTGCTATAATCTTCCCTGACTGTTTGTTTTTTGATTCCCAGCTAAAATTCTTGCTAATCTTTCTACGTGTAGATAACAAATGTATGTTTTTCTCTGGTCAGGAGGAGCAGTTGTGTATTTGCATGTCACCATTGATTAGATGTGACTCCTGAGGATTTGGGGTTATTTAGTTGACTAAAACCACAAATATTTATCCTAACTAAGCGTTTCAGCCCAATGACTCATTCCACAAACCACATGGTTTGCCAGCTCTTTAAATATTTATACTCTACCTCTGTTGGCCATGGCCGTCTCGATGATGTCCAGTGTTGAGTCGTCCTCACACAGGTCGTAGGGCATGTTCCCGTCAGAGTTAACGGCCAGCAGATTGGCACCACTGGGAGATGAGCAGATGAATAATAAAACGTGAAATTAATTTGCAGAAGTTAATCAATTTGCTGCTTGTATATTATCAGTTGACATTTAGGGGACTGCAAGAGAAGCCTTAAATCTTTTACAGCCAACTTTATCTGCTACTTTTTTTCTTCTTTCGGCTGCTCCCTTCTTCAGAGGTTGCCACGGAGAACTAAGGTGCATGAAGACATGGCGATTATTTTTACGCTGGATGCCATTCCTGACGCAACCACAGACCACCGAGCTACCACAGCCCTTTGTGTGGAGGAGACAGCTGCTATCTAGGACACCCAGGACAGCAGATGATGGGGGTTAATGGCCTTGCTTAAGGGCCCAGAATGGGGCAAATGAGGGTGGAGGCAGGTGTGGGTGCTTCACCTATTCCACTCACATTTTGATGTTGTTGATACCGGGAGTTGAACCAGCAACCTTCCGATCACACATCCACCTTCTCTAACCTCTGCGCCACCACTCCCCTATATGCTCTAAACATAACATACAAAACATACAGTAATTTGGCTTTTGATTCATCTTAATATTCTTAAAATAACCTGATGCATGCTCAATAATCCAGGTAGAAAAATCTAAAACAGTTAAATCTGGCCCTCTGTGAACAGTAAACAGCCATCAGTGTGCTAATGATCCATTGTTATGCTGATGGTCCTTCTTGAGCATGTGATCAGCTGGTTTTGGTTGTCAGCAGCAAAACTGGTTTATCCACACTGAGACGGTGCTATTTAAGAGACTGAGCTGAATACAGCTCCTCAGACTGAGGAAGTCTCTCGGATGAGAGACGAAACGTTTCTACATTTTTTGTTGATTTGCTTTGTTTTGTTTTTTTGAATGTCCAGAGGACCAGATTTAACTTTTTTAGATTCTTAAAATAACTTTTTTCTTTTCCATTGTGACTTTAATCCCAACTCTTATATACAAATAAATTATCCTGTTCAGCTGTTTCCTCTGAGTGGTGCCGAATCTTTATGTTTGTGTTTAATCTCGTCACGTGGGATGAAAAGCAACTTTCAAGCAGCTTTGTTTCAAACAGCCTCAACTATGTCAGGATATAACTCGTCCGTCTGGTAATAAAAAAATAAAAATTAAATAAGATTGAGACGAGCCTTCGAAGTTGGTTTCGTCCCACACTAAAAATCTTTTGATGTGATTCGTTCTCACTGCTCCCGTTTATTACATCTCAATTTCTTTAATCGTGCTTACAAATGATGCATTCCTGCATGGTTTCTGTGATCTCTTCAAACAGACGACCAAGGAAAAGGTATGAACAGAAAATATTACAACTTTCAAAGAGTATTTAACAAAAAAAGTATTAGAAGTAATTTAGAGTAAAACAATGATAAACATCCATCCATTATCTTTTACTCGCTTCTTCCATTATGGGTCATGGGGGTCGCCGGTGCCCATGTCCAGCAATCATTGTGCGAGGGGCGGGGGACACCCTGGACAGGTCTCCAGTCCATCACAGGGACACATAGAGACAAAGAAGACAAACAACCATTCACTCTCTCACTCACACCTAGGGACAATTTAGAGTTACCAATCAGCCTAACATGCACGTTTTTGTTCTATGGGAGGAAACCGGAGTACCTGAAGAAAACCCACGCATGCACGGAGAGAGAACATGCAAACTCCACCCAGAAAGGCCCCCAGACCAGGATTTGAACCAGGGACCTGCTCTTTGAGAGGCAGCAGCTCTACCAGTTGCGCCACCGTGCTGCCCAGGATGAAACGTCTCAACAAAAAAAGAAACCGTCCAGATGACCTGACTTAACTTTGTTGGATACGTTCTGTTAAGTCTTTGTTTTTAGTGTTTCTTTAGCCACTTTGCCACTGATGAGTGCGGCTCCACTTGGCTCTTATTGCTTCTTCTAAGGTGTAGGTGATTTGCAACCGTGACTTGTCTTCCTGCTCTGAGGGCAGGATCGTCAATGCAAAGTGGGTGGTATCGCAACAGATCATCGTGTTTGAGCTACTCCGCCCATTGTGGTACTTAATTGCCCGGCACTGCATATAAGTCCGGGTGTAGCCATGCTGCACCATCATTTCCGATATCTCTGTAAATGTGCTCATGTCTTGTAGCGCCATCTGTCAACATGATCAGAGGGGAAATAGAGGTACAGATGCAGATTCAGTTTGCAGTGTTGCTGGGCGGGTCATCCAGTGACGTAGCTCTGCTGGCCAATCAACGGCTGCTGTCTGCTTTCATCAAAATCGTCACCTTGGAGCAGTCTGCTTGGAACCACGAACGGGTGGGTACCAACAGTGGGGAGGTCCTTAACTGGTGCAGTGTGGTGCAGAACCAATGAGAGTTGAGACAGTGGCAAAGCACCATTTGAGTGTGCATATGAGGTTTTATATTATCTCTTCATTAGGAGGTAATTAAAGTTTAACACAACTCATTTCATTGAATCCTAATTAAAAATGTCACTGTGAGTCAGACTTGGTCCAACTATTAGCAGTTAATTTATATAATGGAGACTGGAGCATGCATCAGGGTTAGTGAGTTATTAAAAATGACAATATGTCACTCTGATACTGTTTGATAATAATTTATATATATTTGTCACTTTTATTTCTTACAAGTGGATGAGTGGAAGACAGAAGTTTGGTGGCTTCGGCTAATTTTCCTTCTTTTGTTCCCTTTTCAAAAATCATTAGTCTTGAATGTTTTCTTCCTCTCGTTATTAAGCTGAACTCACAACAATTACCATCAATGTTTCTTACTTCATGTGGCACCCGCTGATGTTTGTGAAATACAAAAAAAAAGTAATTTCTCCTACCAAAAACTCAAACCTAAGCAATAAAATTTGTATTAAAATGGAGTTTGTGTCCACTTTCTGTGTGTAAATTTGATTTTATTTGTTTTGTTGTCTAAATAACATGCCGGTTAATTTCAGACAGTTGTCTAAGTTGGCAGAGGTGGCTAGCTAACTCTGCCCACCCCTCCATCTGCTTACAGCCATGACCAATTAGAGCGTAGCTGCTCAATTTATTACAACTTGATGCAGAATCTGTCGATTACCAAGCTGCAGCTCGGTCTGATTAATTGGAAGTTCTCTGTGAACATCAGAAAGGTCCAAGCTGTGATGTGCTGATCTGATCAATAGTAAGATCAGTTGTTCAATCAACCTCCTGGCCAAAATCAATCAAAAACCTGATGCACCTCAGCATGATATTGTTAGTATTCACCACTGCATTCACTGCAGCAGGCCATTCCAACATGGGACCAAACTTCACCCCATCTCTAATTCAACTAGCTCAAATGTCATATTTATGAGTCAGCACTGAACCTAAAGATATCTGCTAATGAAATATATAATATTAAAAAAATTACATTATTGAAAGTGTTTGTAATCTGCGCTGAATTCATATACTTGACTGCAATCTGGAAAAAAAAATCCCCAATCAGGCATGTTTTGATAGATCATTAAAGCATAAATTGGGCCTTGAGCACAAATAAAAATATTGTGACATATATATATATATATATATATATATATATATATATATAGTGGGGGAGTGGTAGGGCAGAGGTTAGAAGATGGGCCTGTGATCGGAAAGTCACAGTCAGCTCCTGGTACCGTCAACATCAATGTGGGTGGAAAAGGTGAAACACCCACACCTCCCTCCACCCTCATTCGCCCCACTCTGAGCCCATGAGCAAGGCCCCTAACCCCCACCATCTGCTCCCTAAACAGGTTTCTCTTGAAAATGAGTTCTTGTGGCTCAATGAGACTACCTGGATAAATAAAGGGTAAATGAATAATAAAATATATACATATATAACTAGAGTCAAAACCAGGAGCCAGAAGTTGAAGACACAAAAGGAAAAAGAAGAAAGAAACAACGTGCTGTGTTGTCATCATTGTATGTTTCCATACAATGATAAAATTAGTCCTATATATTTATCCCATCACACCTGAGATTCACCCAGGTGGAGCAGTGGGCAGCTATGTAAGCGCCTGGGGAGCAATTGGGGATTGGGTGTCTTGCCCAGAGACGCCATGACATGGGGGAATGGCTGGGAGTCGAACCAAGACTTTCTGGTCCCAAGTTGGCTGCCCTACCTCTACCCCATAAGCATCATAAGCATTCCATATTGGCAATAACTTTTAAATTAAGTTTTAACTATTTTATAAATCATACTCTTCCATGTAAATAAATGCGACATTTGCCTCACCCAAAAAAAAAAAAATCACTCAAAAATATTTTCAAGGTTTTTTTTTTTTTTTTTTTTATCTGCATAGCTCTTCCCTTGCTGCAATGTGTTGCATTGTAAAAATACATTTGAACTTAGTTATTTGAGGTTTAATGACATTTATAATATGAGCTGGGAGGGTGTATGAGCAGGTATGTTGTATCGATGGAACAGACTCAATGCAACACGGCCGCGCTTAAAAAAACAGACATTTTGGTTTTGATTTCGAACAAAGGAAGTAACTGGAATCACTTTGTTAATTTCAATGCTTGTGACTAGTACGCAACATGCTAACAATGCTGGCAGCAGCTCAGGTTTAAAGCTAAAATATTACAACATGGCTTCAAGATGGAACTAACACTTCCAGTTAGGAGTATTTTCACACTGAATGAAAAGCTGACTAGATCTAAGCCAGGACTATTCAACTAACTTGCTCAGGCAGCCACAGTTACTGAAAGCCAAGAGCTCAGGGAGTAGTTATTATCATTAAGTAACTTTGTTTTATGGTTAAAAATGTAGTTTTATTTAAAAATGAACCCATTGGTGGGCCGAACTTAGCTCACCTGTATGCCTGATTTGACCCCCGAGCCACCAGTTGAATAGCCCTGGTCTAAGAACTTAAAAATGTGCATTGAAAATATAAGGAAACCCAGGCAGGTTTTTATGACTTACTGTGAGATGAGTATTTTGACGAGTCCTGCGTGTTCACAGGTAGCAGCAGCGTGCAGCGGCGTCCATAGTTCATTGTCCTGAGCGTTAACATTGGCTCCTCGGTCCAGAAGGATCTTCACCATCTCCTCGTAGTTGTCTATACAACACTGTGTGGAGAAACAAGAAGTCTGCTTGTTACAGTAAGAAATGAATCATCCAATCAGTTTGATAAAACCTCAACTGTCACAACTGCTAACAATCAGAATTTTATACAATACAGCTTAAAATCAGTTATTCCAATAAAAAATGAAAATCTAAAATTTCTAACTCGCGTTATTGGCTCGTGGAGAAAAGAGAGCACAACAAAGTGTTTAAAGTTGAAGTTGTTATTTTAGCCATGAGCTGTTTTGAAAAGTTTTATAAAAATCCATGTGGTTTCCTCCCGTTTGAAGAAAAGTTTCTTTTTAGTTCCCACCGTGAGTAGTCATCTGTGCAGCGCTTGAGCTGAACGCTTCTGCACCTTCATCAGCGCAAGAAAGTAATGAAAAGGAAACTCGTTTGCCTCCAACAGAAGAAAAGCACGAGAGGTTCATAAAGAAGTCACGCCATGTCTCTTGAAAAAGACTTTAAATGGCATATTGTGAGGTGTGATTCTGAGAACACGTCAGACCCATATGGACACGGAGTGTTGACACATTACTCTTTGTGTGGATCTGAGACAAAATTAGAAATGCACCCACAATTCATAGAAGCAAACAAAATGCATGAACAGGGAGAAAATAGTTTCCTTGTTGGACTGGGTGGGAGAGAGTGTGGGTGTGATGCTGGAGAGATTTGTCCATGAAAACCATCCTGTAATCTGACTGACACCAGCAGCGGCGTTTTCCCTCCACCAGAGCTGCTGCACCGCTGAACGGAAATCCAAAACAAGGGACTGAAAAGTGGAGTGACGAAAGGAGGAGATTACTCTGTCACAGAGGGAGGACGAGATATGATGAGAAAACTGAAGGATTCAAAGAAAATGTTTTTTTTTTTTTTTCCAGTCCTCCACTGACACCATTGATGTTTAAATTCTGTGTTTGAATCTTGTACTTGACATTTTCAGTCAACCCCAGGGATGGGATCTGAACATTTTCTGTGTTGAGATGAAATGAGACACCTGTCACAATGAAATGCAAAGTCTCTTCTGAGAAAATGCGGATAATCCTGATAAACACGTGAAGAATAAAAGGAACGCAAGAGAACGTGCTGAGAGTGAGAAAATGCAGATTGCAGACAGCAGAAGGAATCAAATACAGACATGTTCACAAACTGATACGGTTTCAGCGAAATGAGAACAACTCTTTATATAGAGTGAAAAAATATTTTCACTATTCATGTGTTTTGATATTTGAAACTTTTTTAATCAACCAGATAAATACATCTGTTTAGCTCCAACTACTCAAATATCGGGATTTTTTATTCCATGTTTGATGGCTGTACAAGATAAAGTAATATTTCAGATCTTTTAAAGTGGGGGTTCTGTGGAAAGGTTATGATCAATCAATATCTTGCCTGTTGTAGGTAGCTCTTTGAATGGCCTCAGTTTGCATAAACTGAGTTTAACTCAGATGGTCTGGTGAGCTTACAGCTAAATCAAACTGCTGCTGTCCTAAAACATCTGCAAAATCAAACGATTGAAAGCAGTTCATAAAAATGCTGTATAAGAAACCTTTAGGCTGTCGTAAATTTTATATTACACATTGTTTACATGAAGTTCTATGTCTGTTTTTAAGCACAAATAGCAGCAGCTAGTTATAGCTTTTCTAGTGCTACCTGGAGCACTTCTGCTAGAAATATATTAAATATATTTAACAAAAATAACAGGAATCACAGCGGTACGGTGGCGCAGTTGGTAGAGCTGCAGCCTCTCTGCAAGAGGGTTGCCAGTTAAAATCCTGGCCCGGGACATTTCTGGGTGGAGTTTGCATGTTCTCTCCATGCATGAATGGGTTTTCTCCGGGTACTCCACTTTCCTCCCACAGACCAAAAACATGCATGTTAGGCTGATTGGTAACTCTAAATTGTCTCTAGGTGTGAGTGAGAGAGTGAATGGTTGTTTTTCTCGTTTGTCTCTATGTGTCCCTGTGATGGACTGGAGACCTGTCCAGGGTGTCCCCCATCTCTTGCACAGTGATAGCTGGACATGGGCACCAGTGACCCCCGTGACCCAAAATGGAATAAGCGGGTAAAGATGATGGATGGATGGAGGTCATTTAAAGCGTTATCTGCAACAGGTAAGATACTGTTTACAAAGATCCCCACCTCAAAACATCTGAACTAACCCTGTAAGTATTTGAGTTTCAACCCTTGCTTCAACAAGAGAAGACATCTAATTAATAATAATTTCCATCATAAATCCTCAATTTTCTCAAGAGCATGTGCTAAAGTGTAATCTCTGGAGGGTTCTGAGACGTGAGAAGAGGGAAGAGAACAACACAGAGAGGAACAAACGTGAATACATGTCAAGAAGCAGACAGAAGTCACTCTGGGGAATGTAAACAACTGCAAACTGTATTCTTCAGCATCCTGCATCATAAGTTCCTGCTTAGCAGTGACTTTAGGACCAGTACAGAGGGTAAAAAATGTGCCCTTTTTCATAATTTATCAACAGAATACACAATCTGGGTCAAATCCAGCCAATAAAAGTGCAATTTTGAGATAATTTGGTATTCTCCAATCTGATTCTTTTCAATTCAATTCAATTCAAAAATACTTTATTAATCCCAAAGGGAAATTATTTGTTGTTGTAACTCGTTATCCTCGTTTCATTAAGAGATTTTATAGATGCTGATGGCTGAAGACAGGAAGCATCTCTTGTAAAGGTCCATCCCACAGTGGATCCTAAGAAACTGGCTGCAGATGCCGTCCGATCTGTCCACCCAGACTCGGCTGGTCTCTCGGTTCGAGAAGGTTTGGTCGGTTCCCCCGGGCTGTAGGATCGCACGAATGCCGGACAGAATTCCTCCGAGAGCAATGGCTACTCCTCCCAACAGTCTGCCGAGCTCCTCGTTGCTGCGGACAGCCAACTGTAGGTGTCGAGGGACGATCCTGTCCTTCTGCTGTCATGAGCCGTGTTTCCTGCTAGTTCCAGGATCTCAGTGGTCAGGCACTCGAGCACAGCTGGCAGGTAGATGAGAATGCGTCCACAGAACATCCTTTCAACTCATTTGAGATTTGGGGCTGTAGTTGAGATGTTATTTGAGCTTTTGAGATGTTAATCAGCTGCTGTTGGTTGTAGAAAACTGCCTTGTTGCCATGGTTACACATCATAATAAATGTCCAAAACTAAAAAAAAAAAAATCTGTAACAATCCTTCCAGCTGCACAACATCTGATACCAGAGGAAACAATCATCTAAAAAAAAAAGTGCTTTACATCCAGAAAAAGAGGAATTAAAGTTTCCAAAAGCAAAATCTCAGAATGAAAGTCACAGAGCTGCTCCAACATGAGCCACCTTGAGCGGTGCAATTCTAGAATATTTTTATAATAATAATTTTAACTTTAAAACAAACATTTAACCTCTGATACTGGACTACATCAGAGCCAGGTTGCAATGATTTCAGCAAAAACTAGGAGCACTTTTTAGTTTTTGTTGCTTGGATTTGCTGAAGGAATGAGACCTGGCGTGGGTGTATGGTGGAATACCACGCATATAAACACAGCGTAGGAGGATATGAAATTATTGCACAGACATAAATATTCTAAAAAAAAATAATTTAAAGTCTTTGCACGGATGTTTAACAATGATTAGGTCAGTAACTGAAGTCATTAGAAAATCCTTCATCTTGCACCTCGAGGTAGTCCATAATGAATTATAAGATTTACTGAGGAAGCTGTTCATCTTGCTGTGGAAGCCATCATCTCTCCGTCCAGAGCTACTTTATAGTCAGAGGGATGTTTGCTTCCAGAGTTGGTCAATAAAGCAAGCAGGATTGATCCAGCTTTTGATAAAAAAAAAAAAAAGCTTTTATTCAGTTAGGAGGTGGTGTGTCTAACATACCTACTGCTTAGACATTCAGCTGCAACCTTGTACGGCTGAATTTTGATGTGAGGATGAAGGAACGTTTTTTCTGACGCTTCAGAGATGGTCAGACTTGTGTAGTTGTGGCTGCACAGTAGGCCTGTTGAGCTTAAAGCCACTCCAAGGGGTTTATTGCTGCTATTCATCAGGAACAAATCTGACCAATTAATGAAAAACGAAGTACTTTAATTACGCTGGTTTCACTCCAAAAATTGGGAATTTAAAATCTAAAAGCTTTTGTTTTCTTGTTTTAAACACTTAAAATAATTTTTAAGCTTAAAGGGAATGATTAACCTGGAGACAAGCCAAGCAAACACCAAGAGAACATGAAAGTACCAAACAGAAAGACCCCAGGCCCAACTCAGGGCTTGAATCCAGGACTTTCTTGCAGTGAGACAATGGTGATAAGCACTAATCCACTGTGTTGCCCCCCCCAAAAAAAACATCTACTCTGTTGCTATCTGATTATATTAAGCAATCCTACAAAAAAAACAAAAATCTGCTATTTTTATTTTTGGGGTTTTGTGGGGCAGTGAACTCTGAAAATCTCATTGTGTGGAAATTTTATTAATCAAAGTGGATTACAAGATGTTTTAATGGTTGTTCGGATTGTTTTAGGATACGCTGTGGTCAACCACAAAACTCTGTGAAGTCACTTATTGTACAGTATGTGCCTTTATCTTCTATAGTGTCTGTGAGGTGAAGAAATAAATAACTAGTAAAATACAACTCAAATGACTCTGAACCCTGTTAATGTCAAAATAAAAAATACATATTTTATATAGTTTTTGGACTAAAAGGTGCACTTAAAATCCTTTAATTTTCTCAAACATCGACAGCGAGCCTTATAATCAGTCAGAGTCAGAGTTTCTTTATTGTCATTCGCACCTCATGTGGTACATGTGGTGGAGCGAAATTATGTACACAGGGTCCCAGTTACATCCAACAATAAAATGTAAAAGAAAAACTGTAATAACATCTAAGATATGAACTAAGAAAAACATCAACTAAATATACACTAAGCACTAATAGCATAAAAACATTACATCGAACAGCAGCACGAACATGAGTCTGTCTGAGCAGATGAGCACGCATGAACACATCA